ATGACTGCAATGGGAAGTTATCTGGAAACAGCTCTTTATCCTATGATAACCCACCCAGCTACTTTCTGATCAGAGAATCATAGAATTATACAGCACAGAAGGAGGCTATTCAGCCCATCGTGTCTGTGCTGGCCCTTTGAAAAGAGCTATCCAATTCAATCCCACTCTTTTGTTCTCTCCCCGTAGCCCTGCAAACTTGTCCTCTCCAAATAATTATCTACTTCTCTCTTAAAAGTTGTTATTGAATCAGTTTCCACCACCCTTTCAGGCAATGCATTCCAGATCCGAACAACTCGCTGCGTGAAGAAATTTCTCCTCACCTCCCCTCTTGTTTCTTTTAACAACTATTTTAAATCGGTGCCCTCGGGTTACCAACCCTCCCACCAGTGGAAACAGTTTCTCCTTGTTCACCCTACTGAATCCCCTCATAATTTTGAAAACTTCTATTAAGTCTCCTCTTAACCTTCTGTGCTCCAAGGAGAATAATCCTAGTTGCCAGTTGCCAAAATCCTCATATTATTTGCTAGCTACATCCAGATTGACTGCTTTGCAATTAGCCTCAGGTCGCCACAGCAGATGGTTTATCTTTTGCCAGGATAACATCTGGGCTAATGTAGATCTATATTATTCACGTGCTCAAGATACAGTGTTGGTTTCAATATTGAAAAGGATTGGGCACCACTGTTGCACTCAGTGATGATTTTTCATGCAGTGATTTTGTTTTATTGACAACAGATTACTTTTAAATAGTCAAAGTGAAGTTTCAAAAGGATGGAGTAGATTGGCTGAAATTAGAAGTAGTTGAAAATCCTCCAAGCAGTTAGACTCACAATATGGGAATGACTTTTCAACAGTTTTGCTGAGATTCAGTGGTTAGGAAAATGTGAGCTCCGCACAATTCAGTTTAATAAAAGAAGTAAAACTTGGGATGCAGTAGGGAAACTTGAAGAAATGACTGAGGGGAATATTTATGCCTGTAGAGCAGGTTAAGTGATGTTTTGTTCAGTGCTTATATATTTTCTACAACTGTTTGAAGTTATTGAAAATATTCTTTTATTTACCATTTAAAATGCTTATTATGCAATATCCATTGCATATACACTGTAGATTAAAATGGCTTATATTGGTGCACAGCAGCACAGGAAGGCATGGTTGTACACTACATTAAGATTTAATAGTGTGTTTACAAGACAGCGATGTTGATATATAACCATTGATTTATTGCTCTCAAAACATCTCAACCCTGTCAGAATAATCAGCACTTCCAACATCAGATTGAAAATGATGAATGTGTTGGTATGCAATATTATTTTTGTGTTACAAGATTGAACTTGTGATTATGGGATTTCCAATTTATGAGATTTACAAAAAGGTCAATTGAGAATCCCCAAACCTGGCACAACCCAACAAAAAAGCCGATGAGCAAGAATTGTCTCGCAAATTAATGTTTGCAAACTAGAAGAAGCAATTACTGTATCAAATCTGATTTGCGAATTTCACAAATTAAATTCTGGTATCTTAAATTGTGCTTGTCCAGATAATTTGTTGAAGCTCAGTGCTCAATAAAAGCTTTAATTCTGATATTGCTAAATGTTCAGTGTGCTTTTCAGCCCCATTGATATGTGATTCTTGATATATTCTGTTGCAGCAAACTTACCAATAGATTAGAAAACTGGTTTGAGAAGATCTGAGTAGATTTTACATAGCATTACATAGAATCTATAGCTCCGACACAGGAAACGAGTTCGGCCAACTTGTCTGTGCTTGTGTTTATCTTCTATCTTCTTCTATACTAATAAAACGACAATGTCTGCCTGCGCTTCAAGAAGGATCTCAATAACCGATTGACGTAGAGACATGATTTATACCTCATCTGAAAGGTCTTGCTACTGGAAGTGACATGGGCATATTTATTTTCGGGTATCTCATATCGTTCATGAGTTATTTTCAGTTTTGCATTTTTCGCTGCATTTACATTTGGTGGCTGTCGAGTCATAGTGGCACAGTGGCATTGTGCATCATAGAGCACATACGTATGTACGCACACACTGCAGTTACACCAGGTGGTCTTGCTGGCTGACCGTGGCACTGTGGCATCCTGCATCACAGAGCGTACAAGTAGCCAAGGGATGGGAACAAAATAAAGAACACAGATAAAGCTAAGCTGTGGCAACAACAACAAAACTACATTTCTAAGCACCGATGACTCCCACTGAGTCCTTCCAAAAGGCGTCCTCCCAAAAGGAGTCCTCCCACAGGAGTCCCCAGATGATTATCGATGAAGATGTGACATCTGTCTGTGTGTCTGTATGTGTGTCAATCTACATTCCATATTGAATTATTTGGTTGCAAGCGTAGCTGCAACAGGTACAGCTAGTACTGTATATGATACTCTATCCATCCTAATTCTCTTCCCCCACCTCTTCCTACATCCTTCTCCCTCAGGATTTAGCCTGTGTTGTTCCACTCCGGTATATTGCATTGGATTTGCAATGTGCAGTGCTAACACGGCATCCTGTTGCAGTGACTCAATGAAGGCCTCTTTTCATTTGAGTCTTGAACAAACTTGAAAATTATGTTTGCAAATATTTTAATGTGGTGTCACTTGATCACTGAAATAATTATTTTAAACTAGTCAGCTAACAAGAACTGTACTTTTTTAATGTTAGTGTATTACGCTGTCACATTTTTAGTATTCCTTCTGATGTTCGGTTTTAGAATTGTTGCACTTGCAAAAGATCTGTTGTCACTTTATCTTGTTATAAAAGGCAGTACATCCCTTCTGTTTAATGTATGATTGTCATTGGAAACAGTACAAAAAGTTTCATGGACTATTTTCTGCGGTTTCTTTGTTTAAAAAAAGGAAACATGAAAGCCTGTGTTATTAAGATTCCTGATGCATTATAATGGAGAGGGTTCTGAAATTTCCATGTTATGACTTAGTCTGTATCCAGCACAGACGACTGGAGAACAATCGCTGTACTGTAGTTTTACAAGTAAATGGAGGAGAATATCAACATCTTGAGTACAAGAAGGAAAATAATTGGTCATTTTGATGAACATTTCCCCTTTTTATGTGTATATTTGAAAGTGACTTGGTTTGTAATTTGGAAGCCACTGAAAAGGATTCAGTTGCAGAGGAGTGTCTGTAGTGAATAATATTATAATAATAATCCTTGCATCACGTCGTCACGTCGAAACTAGGATTATTCTCCCCAGAGCAGAGAAGATTAAGAGGGGATTTAATAGAGGTTTTCAAGATCATGAGAGGATTTGATAGGTTGAACCAGGAAAAACTGTTTCCACCGGCACCGGCATGTGGGTCAGTAACCCGAGGACACTGATTTCAGATAGTTTTTGAAAGAAACGGGAGGTTAGGAATTTTTTTTTCACCTAGTGAGTTGTTCGGCTCTGGAATGCATTACCTGAAAGGGTCGTGGAAGCTGATGCAATAACAACTTTTAAGAGAGAAGTAGATGGTTATTTGGGGAGGATAGGATTGCAGGGCTATGGAGAGAAAGCGTTGAGTTGGATTGCTCTTTTAGGAGCCGGCGCAGACGCGATGGGCCGAATGGCCTCTTTCTGTGCTGTATGATTCTATGATTCTATGATTTGCTAGAAAGTGCACAAGGGTACTTGAAAGCATATTAGTCTCCAAAATCTGTGTGCTAATATACAAGAAAGTGCTTGGCCTCTGTCTTCTTATGATAGTATTTTGATTGTGTGTTATGTGGGCAAATATTTTGTAGCTGTGGAAAATTGGCTTCTAATTAAGAGTGAATTTAAGGCCGTTTTATGCAAAATTCTTCGTAATCTTATACGTCACAAATATTTTCGGACCTCTAGTTCCCCTTGGTATCCATAAAGCTAGCCACTAAGTGTGACTGAATGGATCGTCATAAGCGAAGCTGACAACTATGGTTAAAACATTGTTAAATGGAGAGCTCCCGTTTGTTCAATTTTCACAGATATAGTTGGGATGTGTTGAGTGGACTCTTTCCTGGGGCTTAATGTTCTTTATTTTGATGATCTGTGGATCCTAGCTTGATATCCTGTGGTTTACTTTTCATAATTTATAATAAAATGTTTGCTATATAATGTATATCTCAGGGGCTATACTATGACACATTTACTTAATAGCTCTTTTCACAAGTCAAGCAGAACTGTTGCCACCCTTTGAGGCATGCTACTGACAAAGATGATTATATATTTTCTTTATTATTTTCCTCCAATTCAATGAGGACTGTGTCTGTGTGACACCAATCAAAGCTCTAGATAGCTTCTTCAGCATATTGGAGCATGCCCTTTGTTTAACCCAAGCTTTATTTTGCTGGATAGTTAATTTTGATGCAAATTACTTGAATTTAGGCACTTACTGAACAAGTGAGGGAATGGAATTCAAGCTGAGAAATTATTTGTATTTTTCTCAATGTTGCAAAGGATCTTCAGAGCACTAATTTACCTGATCTGCATTAGAGTATACATTTCTTCCCTCTTCTCTTCCCTTCTTTTCCACACAGCAGGTCTAAATTCTCTTTTGGAGAGACCTGCTGGAACTTGATTTCCTATATTCTAGTTTCCTATGACTTAGTGAGGGTGAACTTCCAAAAACATCAACAAGGATTTAGAAATGAATAACTATTAGACATGCAATTCAGTCATTTTATCTTCATCGTTTTAAAAATAAAATTCCTCAGGTCCTGTAGTCTTTCTGCAGAAAGAGTGTCTGGTAATAGAATATTGGTGCAGTAATGTGCCTACGCTCCTCTAAGAATGAACATTTACCGGATATGTCATTTAGTTATACTTGGAGATACAAAAGTCTGTGTTTCCGCTCCTCACTTTAGATCAACTCATACTGTAAGAACAGTTGTACCTCTTAAACAGTGGAAAATCAGAGCTCACTGCATTTCATTGCTTTTGTTTAATAATGTTATTTGCAAGGTTTTGGAGCATATATTTTGACATTTTACCTTTCTTTCTTGCATCGTCTTACCCAGGCAGCCTATTACAACATGAAACCCACTATTCTCCATCAACAATTAGAAAACATCCATTTAAGCCAAGAGAAGTCCGAGGCGTTTACTCAGGCCTGGGCAAGTACAGGCCAAGAAACGGTGGAAAAGTTCCGCCATAGAACATTTGCTCCCAAAAAGGTACACACTCTATCTTGTCTATAGTGTTAAGAAATATTTAATGGCCCTTCATTTATTTAGAAATAAACAAACTTTGCTTGAATTATTTTTGCCCACAGGATTCAGTTTCCAAAAAAGAGTATTATAGCTAATGCAGTGTGTTTGAATATCATAGCTTAAAATAAACCACCTCCTTGGATATTTCTCCCCTTACTCCCAACTCTCCTGAAGGTGATGCTTCATGCCAGAATATTGCTTTCACTGACTGGCATTTGATGCATGTTGCACCATCAAATCTGTCTTGCTACTTGTTTGATTGAGAAGTTTTCAGAATGTTTGTCCAGTCTAGTTGGGCCAAATGGCCTGTTTCCATCCTGTAGGATTCTATGTAACCATACATCTGAACCATGGGAGAGAGCTTCACCTCACTGAATATATAGTATTGCTCTATAATTTAGGAATTTCCAGGTGGAAACATCAGCTGTTGCCATACAGTTGAGAGTGAACATTTTGTTTTAAATTTTAACTGTTTTCTTACAGACGGAAATTGTGTTTTCACTGCAAAACCGATTTACTTGTGCAGTAATTTCTTACATTTTAATTCTAGCTTGAGACAATTGGCTGGCAGCTCAACCTTGAAATGGCTCAGTCGATGCAAGCCAAACTGAAGTCTCCTCATGCCATTCTTGAGCTAGGAGTTAATAGTGAAGACTCTGAGGTAAGTCACATTCATTGAGGATGATGATGTAAAAAGGAACTTCACTTATGATTGAGCTTTTTGATTCACCATTGAAAGGATAAAGGTGGTACCCAGCAGCCAATGGTCAGATGGAAAGTATCTAAGGGACACACAAAACAATACTACAATACAAAATTACATTTGTATAGTGCCTTTCATGTTCCAAGACGTTGGACAGTCAGGGATTTAGACCTGAGCGGGGGTGGGGTTTGGGATCAGGGAGTGTAGGTGAACATGCTGATGGTTCAAGATGATGAGTTGGAAAAAAGGAGAGCAGAATGGATAGATTGAGAGCTAGTTCGTAGGTAACTGCTTGAGTTTTAAAAGCCTACAGGTTGTTGAGTGCGGTTAAAAGCCAGGCTGAGGGAATGCATTGGTGGGGAAAGGGGATTTGAGACACCCTGACCTTTGGGATACTACCATTACTCGTATTACCACTGTCCACATAAGCTCTCTACAGTATTTATGAAAGGTGGGAGTTATGCTATCACAAGAAACTTTTGATTTAGTGCCTTATAAGTAGATTTGTTAACAATCACCCCGTGTGCCGGGAAGGGTGGGGAAAGCCACAGAAGTGGTTCCCAATTACTCTTTACGATATGTACTGCATACTCCACAGCCAGTCTAGCAGCCAACTGCTTTCTCAAAAAAAATTTTTTTTATGCCCTGAGAGTGGTGACGTGGAGGTGACAGCACACAAAGTAATCATAGGATGGTTGTGCCCACTTCTGAGCTTTCACTGCAGCATTTAACTTCAACGGTGTCAGTTGCTTGCAGTTTACTCCTCATATTGCTTTTATTGCTCTTGATGTGATCTTACTCTGAGTGGACAGCAGATGGCAATAGAAGCACATTGATTGGAGTTCACGTTTTCCATGTTTCTTGCATTCAATCTTGTCAGTAGGGCACTTGCCTGGGACAATGCATTAGTAATCTGTGCTTCAGAAGAGAAGTCTCTTGGTACATTTGGAGTGACTGAAGTGGATGGCAGAGCCCAGCTGGTATAGTGGCACAGATCGTGTTGTTTGCTTTATACTATATTCTGTACAACCTGAGTAATGTAGACTGCTGCTAGTCATTAGCAAATTGCTGCCAGCTCAAAAGACTTTATGCTTTTTGATCCCAGGGGAAATTGTGGAACGACAAGTGAGCATTACACAGCAGTGTAGGTTTATATTTTCAAAATTACATTTTTGAGTTGGCCACAATCTAAAACAGCTATTAAAATTGATGGAAAAGATAATTGATATATTTCAATACATTTTGATTTTGCCTCCACTTGCCCTTACTTTGGGTGTGTGTGTGTATGTGTGTGTGATTGTCACTAGCCAGTATTTCTCTCACTCGTCCTTAAGACCAAAAGCTTAACCTGAGCCCAAAATTTTCCATGATCTTAGTTTGAAGAACATTAACTTAAAGTAAAGTCATGCAGAATTTTAGAAAACAGTTTTCGATTTAGTCTTAATTTGGCAGCTAGTTTTCCACAATTCTTGGTACTCGTGATCTTAAATTTCATTATTGGTGGACAATATCACAGGCTGCATTTATATCTGCACAACAAGTTAATACTGGTAGTAATTCAATCTACTGTGTTTAGCCCACTGGGTAATTCTTTGTTCTTATCCCAATTTACTGCGCATAGCCCTACCATATTTTGCCTTCAAACAAGCAGTGTTTATTCCCTATTTTTACGCATCTCTTCACCAGCTTTAACTTTACAATTCTCTCCTCCTTGCTCCACCTCATGGCCTCTGTCCTTTCCTGGTTTCATAGTCTTCCTTTGTCTCTCTAATGGCTTCTTCTCCCACCAATGCACAGTCACCTGTGGTGTTCCTCAGGGCTCTATGCTGATACATCTGTTTGCTCTCCCTTGGTGACATCATTTACACCAAGGACGTCCAACTCCATCTCCTGCTTCTACAATAACAAAAACGTGCATTTGTATAGCGCCCCTCACCCAGGGTAGCAGCGTCCCAGAGCGCTTAAAGACCTCATCTTAACTTTGATTCCAGGACCATAGCTGTTCTGACTGATAGACTGTCAGACATCAAGTCCTGGATGATATCTAATTTCTACAGTTTAAATGTCGACAAGACTGAAGCTCTCTTACTTGGTTCCCATCAGCATCATTAGGCGTCAGCCTGGCTTAGTTGATAGCATTCTCGCCTCTTGAGTCAAAAGCTTGTGGGCTCAAGTGTATTCCGGTTCACATGGATGTTAAAGATCTCATGACACTACTGTTTGAAAAGAGAGGGAGTTTCTCCTGGCGTCCTGGCCAACAGTGCCCCAAATAAAATTGTTCACTCAGTTCATGGCTGTTTGTGAGATTAACTGCCTCATTCACCTAGAAAATACACAGGCACTATACTCTGTAGAAAAGTTCTGAAGGGCTTATAGTGCTTCGTCAGTATAGGTGCTATATCAAATGTAAGGCTTATTATTAGTTCTTTGCAAACATTTTAGCAATCTAGCCCAAGGAATAAAGATCCTACAGGCTGGCTAAGTTCTCTGTTCTATCAACTTAAACATGCTTCTCTTCAAAAATAAGCTTCCTTTCAAACTATTAATTGTTTTTAAAAATGTATGGTTTATGGACTGCAGCCTACAATCTAAAATGATAATCCTCTTATATTCTTAGATTTCCTGAGACCTGGCTGTGCATCCTAGCTTTTGTACATTAAAAATTGTGATGCTTTTCTGCTGTTCCATTGCGTGAGTGACTTGTTCCCATCACTTAGAGGTCCATTAAAACATTATGCTGAGCGATGTCTTTGCATTGCTTCTGTGAACACTGACTTGTCATTGTGTCTTCACTAACTGGACACGGCACCTCAAATGCTATCGTCAATTTTGAATGCATTTAAAGGCAACCCCTTTTCTCATTCTGGTTTTGACCTGAATGTTGCTGTATTTCAGGTATTCATTGCTCATCTCGCATTGTATGTGGTTTATAATCCACGAGTAATTTGCAGTTGCATTTTCGTTCTCATCACATTTGAGCTGCGAAGGGATTTGTGATAGCTACTGAGTTTCTTCATTTCACATCGTCTCACAATTAAGTCATTGAAAATTGTTGCAGAAAAATTGATAAATGCGTTTAATGCCCTAAATAAACTAAGTGTTTATTTTCTGAATGTATTTATGCATAGGTAGGATTCAAGTGCAGAGCAATTCCATACCCATATGTGAATTGGAATAATGTAATGATATTTATCTTTTAATTAGTTGTTTCCTTAGTAAGTCTAATTAGGTTGTCTGAATAAAAGTTCAAGAACAAAGCTACTTCCTGTATGCTTGTGTTTTAGCCATTAACTGTTCTAAACTGTGTTCCTACTAAGTGTGTCTAATTATTGCCAGCATCTAATAGTGCAATTTGAGTTGCAGCATTTTTCTTTGTTGGCCTGTATGGTCCAATTCTGCACTATTGAAATATGGCCTCAACAAAACCGCCTCTGAATAGATATTGTTTCCCTTTCCAGGATGCATGCTGCTTTTCTTGACATTTTAAACTCCTTTAATGACAGCAGAAGCTGTAAAATACTTCTGAGTTTATCAGACACATGTTTTCACTTTACAGTGAATGAGGAACTTCAAAGTTACAGTAAGATGTAGCGTAGAATTGATTTTTTTCACCATTTTTTTAAAATGCAGTATAGGTAAGGCAGCTTTACAGATTTGTTCATGCGCTTGGCTAACCTCTTTTTTTTGTGTTGTTAAAATGTGTTGAGTAAACTTGCCTCAGTTGTTGGGGCTCTCACCTCAAAGAGTCCGAAGATTGTAGGTTCAGGTCCCATGTTCCGGCTTGAGCTTGTAGACTAGGTTGATATTCTAAAGAGGTATTTGGAGACAACTGTCCACCTATCCACCTATTATCCCCTTTTATCTCCTTTATTTTCTTCCCTGTAAAGAATACTGCTGTTCGGTTACTCTGGGTTCAAAGCTTGAAGATGTCTACGTGGCAGATTAACTTCTGAAAATATCAATGCGGTTCTCACCTGAGCTCGGTAGGCAATGCCCTACTCTGTGTCCCATGCCCTGCTTGTTCCACCATTGGTGGTCGGCCCTTCAGCGTTTCTGCCCCCACCCTCTGGAACTCTATCACCGAGCTCCACCACCTCGCCACCTCCCTTGCCTCCTTCAAGGCCCATCTCAAGACCTTCCTCTTCGTCTGTGGCTTGGTTTATCCTCCTACCTCCACCCGCCTTGCCCTCCACCTCTGTTGACTCCAACCCTGGCCTTGGGTGTAAACCCTTCACTGTCCAGCATCTTGGGACATTCTCCCAACATGAAAGGCACTATATAAATGTATTTTGTTGGTGTTGTTGAGCACTTTTTTGAGCTGTTAGTAAAAAAAAGCATTGTGTTATCAATCTATTTTACGCGGGGTAGGTGTCCTGAATATTCTTAGTTGGCACTGTACAATTTAAGATTGTAGGTAACATTTGAAAAAGTACTGTAAGTGGATAGTAAAGTGTTTTGTTCTTTGTATTAGACAGTTATTTCCATCCTAGAGTGTTCAGTTACAAGCACAACGTGACTACTGTTAGTTTTATTGAAAGTTTCTACAGTACTTGGTATCAGTCATGAAAGTAAGCTCTTATGCTATGTCATCATGAATTATATACATTAGTTGACAGGTTGATTAATTGCCCTTTTTTCATTTTATTCATATGTGTTAATGAATGAGCTGAGTGACCATTAATTTGGCTCCCAGAATCTATCAACGGTTCTGTTCAGCTTAAAGTTGTGACTTTCCCAGACAGTTGAATAATTAGACAATCCCCAAACTGAAGTTGAAACTTCTTTCATGCACTTTGAATTGTGTTTAGGTCGGTGATGACATATTATTAGCCTAGAGTTATACAATGAACTTAAAAGAATCTGTATTTTGACCCTTGGTCGGGTTTACTATTAATACTCACTGATTTTGTAAATGGCTTTGAAGATTTGAAGAATGTCCCTACAGTGATACTAGTACT